CGATTGCGTGCGTTATGGCTGCGCGAATAGAGTCGCTTTGATGCGTAGTGTGTGCCATGTTTAAATTATACATGAATTGCATTACGACACAACATGCCATGTCACAGAATATCAAAATGGAGTGATCACTCCATCACTCCAGGTCATGAGCTCACAGCTTGCGTCTGAACCCCAAAGGCAATTGTTTCTATTTGAGTGTTTCTCTCACTTTGTAAAGTCACCGCTGAACATAAATTCATGATCTTGTGCCCTCCAGCGTTTCCGCTGTGCCTCATGGAGAAGATTCAAAGGGACAAGGGCGCAATCGTGGGGGAGACTCTACATGCCGCAATCAAAGACCAGTTCACGCGACTGAGGGACGGCGACAGATTCTACTACGAGAACGTGGACTTTCCGTGCGAGCTGGACGGATATGAGCACCTCCAGAACATATTGATGGTGCGGAGCTGTTTCATTTCTCTTATCGGAGTCATGGGTCTGTGCACTGAATGAAAATGTATGAAAAATACTATGCTTCTACGAAATTCTACGAAATTAGTAGGATATTGTCAAAACAGAGCCTGGCCGGGTATAATTCTTCATGCGGTTCGTCCGAAATGCGATTACCATGAATGAATGGCGCCCAAAGATAGGGGCAATTTGAAGAGGAGTGATCGTATGCCTCTTATTAATATCTAGCGAGGAGGGCCATGAAATATACGTCCTGGAAATTGCAAGCAGATATCATCTTCACACAGTTTGCTTTCCGGCTTGAGAACGCAGATTGGGCGAACGCAGATTGGGCGAATCCCGTTCCGTGCAACAAATTAGCGTTCACAGCAGTGGCTCCTCGAAATGTGCAGAGTCACCCCGAGGCATGTATAGAGAACAGCAGAAAAGAGTCCATACTCCAACCTCGGAGATTGTGCAATCTTTCTGCACGGCAATGCACGATAACAGTATTGTTGGTCGCCCTTCGATTGGAGCCGTGTACGTTGACAGTATGCCATCAATGTTTGAGCTTTTCGCTTTCTTGGCAAGGGAAGTTTCGAGGGCGTCTCCCTTGTCCGGGCTGAACGGCACCTGGATTACTAAACGTAATGCATGGTAGTCAATGCAATGCAGTTTTTGGCAACAGAAAGTTCTGGAGGAAAGCCCCCCCCCCCCGCGTGATCAATGGTGGCAATAACACACGCCAGGACAACAGGGCCAAACAGCACTTGTTCAGACGTGTACAAAGTTTACGGGTTAGGGTTATTTTTGTTTTTTTAGCATGCAGAACTTTGATGAAATGTGCTTTATGTGTTTTCGCAAGAGTTATTTGGTCCTTTTTTGCTATATAGCCCTCCGGAAATCACCCAAGAGTAGGTGTGACGAGGGCTAGAAAGGGCACCTTTCAGGGTATGACTCGCATTAAATTTCAAGTAAAGTACAGTTGCACGTGCAGTTTGGGAGGCCAGTACACGTGCACACAAGTTCGCTGAACGGAGTACATTTGAAAATCCGAGTACGAGTGCAAGCGCAAGTGCAGCGGAAATTTCTGTGGTTTGATTTTTTCAATTTGGAGGCTCTGCAGCCTTGCCACCTACTTGGCGGAAACTGTGGATGTGACAAAAAGCGAGCCTCTGGATGAAGAAAGTTGCGGGTGTCCCGCCAGGGGAAGGTGAACATGAAGACCATATTCCTGCGCAACATGAACGGCGCCAGGGAGCCAGAGAGAGTTGCAGAATTGAACAAAACGCTTCCAGAGAACGTCTTCCTGACGCCCCCCGCCGACGGCCGAAGGCAGTGCACTCCCCCATTGCCAATACTCACGGTGAACATCCCAATGTCGAACATTCATATCTGCAATGCACAGAGCTCCGCGTTCAATTGGCATTGCAAATAACACAGTATTGACAGAAGCCACAAAGAAAATTCTGAAGGACAAGTATATGAGAACAAAATGTGAACTTGAGTTGTACATTGCGTTGAACTTGGATCAAACAAAACGTCTTGAAAAGCTGTACATCTTCTGTGGTTGGCTTCCAATGGCTTTTATAAACGTTTCGTAAGCTTCTCAATCAATTTAATGTCCTGCATTGCACAGCAAGATTTACAAATCTTGCATAATGATACTATTATGCTATGCAGATGCAAACCTTATGTAAAAGTGGTAGAGGACCCAGTACTTTGCAGCACTTCTTGTAAAGCACTTTTCTGAATGATCTGAGACCAGATTGATTAATTATGAGGTACTTCATCTGTCTCAAATCAAATGAAACAACTTGTTGGCAGGCTAAATTTGTAACAATTACTCGTTTGCTTTTCCTTAAAATACAACCACAGCACCTGCTATACAAACAGTAGTTGCTTGAAGAAATTCATAGTGAACGATTAAGTAAACTGCATTCGGCAACGCATTGAGCCTACGCCACACCAGTCCAGAATTTGGTTCCTCCCAGGCCATCCCACGCCTGCCAAAAACTAGGCTGGGGTGCCTGGGGTGGCACCCGTGCCTGGGGTGGCCCAACACACAAGTGCAGCCCCTCTTTATAAACTAAGGGAACTGGAAGGGTAGAGCGGCCAGTCTCGCTCAGATTATAACGCAACGATCGGTACCGATCGAGATGGACAACCGGAAGAGATAGCACGTGGCTGCCCATTTCGCCATCGTGGATTTGAGGAAATCCCGGCCACCGTCCACGGCGACGCAAGGACATATCTGGGATCTGCCATTGCCAACAGTTCTCCTGGTGTCCAAAGACTAGCCGCGGAACCGCTGCATGTGTCGTACGCTTTCCGTTCGTTACCGATCTCCAACTAATGGCGTTTTTGGCGCGATGAACACCTACACACAAAAGGGCAGCAGTCTCACCAAACACGACCGATGGAGGGTGTGGATGCTCCATCGGAGGCCCTAATTGGTGCACAGCGGTGCTGTTGCGTTCCGCAAGGAAGGCATCCAAGATCTCTTGCAGCAGCGTCTTTCAAAGTGGCTTGAACGGCAGTCGAAGTGCTGCTTGTGGCCTGTGTCGGGCACAGGCGCTTCCAGCGATCTGTGCGCTGCTGTGCAGGGAACTCCGTGGTTGTGAAGTTCGCCGATTTCTCCGCTGCCGATGCAAATCTGAAACGCTCAATAGGCTGTCGAATCCACGGTCGCGATTGACGATCGAGCGGTACGAAACTTGGTTCCCCGGCTCCTATGCTTCGAGAAGAGAGGCTCCGACCTGCAGCCACAACGGCGGCACCAGATATCCATTCTGCGCTGCGCATCGACAGTCACAAAGCGAGAGAACTGGCGTTTTCGGAAAGTCCCATGGGTTCAAAGTACAACCGTCTGACCAATACTTATTCGTTTTGTGCAAAAATTTGATAGCATATGATAGATTCTGGGCTGTTCTCTGGTCAAATTTTCAAGAAAAATAGTAAGTAAGTGCTGCAAATGTGGCCTCCCAAACAATCTGTTTCATTCAGACAAAATGACATTAATACTTCAGAAGTACTGATAAAATCTCCCATGACTTTCATTTTTTAATATTGAATAATGCCGAGTTGTTGATGGATTAAATTACCGATCAATCATTTGCGATTTGCATGTGACGCCGTTGCGCCTGCTGTGCAGCCCTCGAGCCACCCTGGGCTGGACTGCCAGGGCAGCGTGCCCCGCGTCAAGCGCTACTTCTGGCTCCCTGGTCGCCCCAGCCGCTACTGGTACAACCGCCAGGGCTCCGTCAGGGCCGCCTACATCTGCGACCTCCCCGGCCCCCTGGTTGACAACCGCAAAGGCTTCAAGACTTATTCAGAGGCCTGGAGGACATGCGGGTGGGGAAGGCGGCAGCGGTGGCCGATTACGAGGAACGACAACGACTTATTTGGTGGGAGAGATGGGCGAGAAGAGTCTGAGGTGTTTGAGTTTGACGAAGGGAGAGCCGAGGTTCTGGAGGAGGTTGAGGAATTGGATCCCCTGCCGGCGGTGGCGAAGAAGGGCGGAGCGGCGGTGGTGGGCAGACCCAGGGACACGCCCACTTACGACTTCTGAAGCGGTGGGGCCGGCCGGGCTGAGGCGAGAAAGCCGGCCTAGTTAATCGGAGTACTAGTTTTGATGCACAGATGTTGCGTGAGGCTGCTTGGCCCCTGAGATATCTCGGCGATGGGCTGTGTCGGGTGGGGAGGTGGATGGGTGATGCACATGGTGTACGTAAAGAACAAGCAAGGAATGCATGGCGCAGGGTGTGATGCTTGCACTTTGGGCTCGAGTCAGAGAGTTGAGTATGTGAATTACGTCGGTGCATCGGAGAGTCGCTTGTGGTTGGCCAATCCAGGCATATTGATGGGCCGAATTTCGGCGCAGCCGGAAGACGTCCGGGCACGTTGGCAAGTCAAGCCACGCAGTCGGGGCTGCCCCGGCGGGGTATTCGAAACAACGGCGGCGCTGTCCCAGTTGGCCATCGGTGCGGTCACCAATGTTGACGGAGCCGGTGTATGTGCGGCGGACTCGGATGTCCATGCTGACTGAATCCCTTGCTGCCGAAATGGGAATTGATTATTTCATTCTGAGCTGCGAACGGCCCTCCGCGGTGCCAATTTCATCAAGCGCCAAGACACGAATCATTTAATGGACCATTTCGATATCGTCGATTTCGATGCACTGAGTGTGGTTGATGCTGGGAGCCGTCGACGACTGCACGCGCCCAGCACTCAGTACTTGGGCAGCCGCTATGTTGAACCTGTCGCGCTTAGCGTTATTGTGGTGCTCATGGAGTTGAGGTGAGGGGCAGGCTTGCGTTGATGAGGTATGGCGCATTGCCACAAAGCCTACATCATCTGAGAAGAGCCCAAAACCTCCCTCAGGCATTCAGCCTTCACAGGTCCACCCACAACGCTAGGTGTACCAACATCAGCACAATGTCTTCCCTTGCTGCTTCGGGCTGAGACGCGATTTGACAGGAAGGGCTGAAAGGGGCGGGTTGACGCTCGGCGGTATTTTACAGTGAGCACAGGGCAGCTGTGTAGTGCGTACATCTGTACTGGTGGTAGTATTACACAGAGTATCTATACTCGCGCTCGTCGAGCAACATCTGCCCCTGAAACTCCCCATTTGGCAAAAAAGTCATGCTAACCCTCAAAGGCGCTGTCCGAAAGCGCTGCCCCATCACCCCGCTGCATGCTCCCTCATGCGTTTGAAGACTTTTCCCACAGCGCCAAACAACCACTCTGAAAAATTCCACGCCGCTCAAGCAAACTGTCAGCCAGGGTCCCTTGCATTCACTAAGCCCAGCATCTAGCTCTTCTACCCGGGGGGATATCCCAATGCACACTCGCTCCACACCCCTCTCCTCGAATAAAAAATCACCCGGAAATGCACTGCAACCCAAGATCTGCCTTCTCCGCTGGCAGCCCAGTTCCCGTACAGTCATCGTCTGCGTCAGTCAACCTCTGAACACTAGCCAAAATTGAACGAAGAACATGATCCAAAATTATACACATTCACTGTTTCCTAGGAAGCGGCGTGCTACTGATATACACATTCCCAGCAACTGAACAAAGTTTCGGGCCTGCGCAACGGGGCAGTAAACATTCTCATGGCAGTGGCGGCCCTGCCACTGTGAAACACCCAATCGCCACTACCAGAGCCTCGCCAGGAGCCAACACAAAGTTCAAATGCCGCTGCGGGCCACTCAATGACGAGAGCATGGTTACCACCAAGTCAGGCGGCACCGCTCCCGGACAGCCAATACAGCGTCGTCCAACTCCGCCAGCCTACGAATCGGAAAGTGTCACTCACTACGCTGCAAAGACGCTGCCCGTGCACCACATAGCCTAAGGTGCTGGCGTCGAGGAGTTAGTCAATGCGCAGCGGAGATGGCGACTGGCAGCATGCATCTGCGGTGGTATGGAGCCGCTTCTTCAGTCGCAAGGAGCGGCGTCGCTGCACCGCGTTGACGCTCTTCGGCCAGTGGGAAGGCAGCCGCCCCGCGCTGCCATCGCAAAACAGCTTGAACTCATTGCCTTTCTTTTGATCCCTTTCCCTATCCAATTTCTCACTTTCGTTCCTCTTAATGAAGACGCTATGTCGATTTTGATACGCTCATTGCCAATTTGATTTGTACTGCTCGAGTCGCACATCTGGCTCATCAGTGTATCAAACAGAACAACGCAGCGGTACATGACAGCGTCCTGACCCCCAAGCTATGCCAAACCAAAATCCTCACGGGCCAGGGAAAACTGCCATTCGAGAAATACGGAAGCACATTGAATAAATCGACGCAGGAACGAAAAACAGAGGGGCATCCAGCAGGGGGCCGCATGTGGTTCCCGCGAGTTATACTGGGTGGGGCCACTTTCCAGGCAATGCAAAATGTGACTTGTTGAACACCGCAAATGCAGGGCCCGGACGTACGAGAGCAGGGTGATATTGGGAAAGGAACCCCATCTGCATATGGAGCCCCCTTTCCAGTCAAATGCACCAGTTGTGAAGCACGTCCTCAGCACTGGCAGCGCACTGGCAGTGGCAGCTCGGTGCAGTGCACTACTCTGGATGATATTCAAGGGATGGCCAGCATGCCTGGATTGAATGCTGTCAACAATCAGTTGAACATTTTTGAGGGATGCGTTGGGTACAAAACCGAGTGCTCGGTAATCTGACCTTGGGCTTTGGCACTCTGCACTGTGTAACCAGGTACTCTGTACTCTGTGCCAGGTATGCTGTACTTTAACCTCGTACCCACATCCAATGATGTTAATTGATCACTTTAGGACGCACCATGTCGGTGGTCTCAGCCCCGTATTGCAAAAGCAGTTGGACAGCATCGCCCTTGCCTCGCTCTTCAGCGATCATCAAAGCTGTCCGTCCGGACTACCAGCACACACAACACCAAACGATTCAGGCTCCACAAGGCCTACGTAATCACCACAAACCCGTCCACAGCAATGCATCCAGGGGCTTGTCCGAGCATCCAGCCATTTTGTGTACTGATCACCCAATAAGCCGATGACAAACCCACTCAGCACCACATCACAGTTCTGGCTTGACATTTTTGATAGCGTACAAAATGGCAGCATGGCTCTAAGCACCCGTGTTTAGAATTGTTTTGTTTCAAGTGCAAGTGACCAGCATGGCTAATTGCAGGACGGCTGTCCGAAATTCACACTAGGATACCCACCAGCACCAGTACTTTTTGTACCCCATCACATCAGGAAAACTGGTCAATCCTCACCGCCTCAGTCTGATTTAACGAAGCCTTGTGTTGGATCAAGAGCTCCACCATGCCGAGATGCCCCTTCTCTGCTGCTAACATCAACGGGGTCCACCCATTCTGCCACACCAGCAGGACTTTCAGCGCTCAACATTATCTCCAAGAACGTCAAGGATTTCGTTGGCCAATGAAACGTTCTCCCCCCTTAAGAATGAAGTACACATTCAAGAGCAAAATAAATGCCAGAAAAACATATAGCAAAGAAACATGGTTCGTGGTGAAGTGATCAGTCCACATCTCTGTCGATCAAGATGTTCAGCTGAGTCCCATTTGCATCATCTCAACACAGAAAAGGAGGTGCGCTGCTGGCGGACCGCATTCAACAAGATCACAAATCAGCATTCTGTGTGCGGATCGGGTATAGGGCGCTGACAACTACGACATCATACCAGGTTCCCTTGGTCCACAGCAGCCCCCTTTTGCAGGAGTATTTCTGCCACATTGCTGTTGCCATTTTCAGCAGCGCAAAGCAATGCTGTCCATCCATCCTGCGCCACAGGCACAGCTTACTTAATTCCTGTAGTATACTACCACTTGCTGATGTATAAATGCTGGAGTGCTGTTATTACTAACACTAACAAATGGTGAATTGGCCTTACTACACACCGTGTAGCACATGCACCTTACAGGCAGAGATGGGCATACTACTATCCAGACTGTTTGCCTCTCAGCAAAACATCTTTCAAAACATGGGACAAGTGTTGGTTGCTGGCCCGTTCAGAGCTAGCCAAATGGAACTGAGGCTCTTGCAGACAACTGAGAGGGCACTTGCACTGTTGTCAATGGTGGTGCTTGCCATTCATAGCGGTGATCTGTTTTGCAGCAGGTGCAAAACAGCCCAGAGCAAGGCTCATAGGATGGAACATCCCGGAAGGAAGACCTGCTTGCTGGCTCAATGCATCCGTGCCAACACAACACACAGGCATCAATGTAAACCATTCACAACGTGTGGAAAATCTGACCTCTTTTTCTGCTGTGCTGGTTTCTGTTTGTTGTTTGCAAAACTAAACCTATGCACGCACCAAAAGCCCCGTTTCTCTCAGATGCTCGACTGGTCCAGCACACATGGCTGGCAGCAAATCGACAGATGTTGACAGTGGTGCTCACAAGCGAATCTGCACCTACGAGATGCAAGAAGTTTCGGAAACCACAAAGGCGCACCCGCACTTTCATGTTGACCGATGCACCCCTGTCCACAAGAAGGCGAACTACCTCCAGATGGCCATTCTGCGATGCGTACAACAGTGGTGTGCACATCTCCTGCAAATGCGAACCACCCGCGTCAATTAATATTACTTTTCGTCAAGTGGACATTCGTGACTGCATATTGATGGCCACTACCAATGGCACACTGTGCTGTGTTCCATCCTATGATCGGATACTCTATGTCGTCTTTCCCAGCCTGGTACAGAGCCTCCTCTCGTTTTCTTGCTCAGGAGGGTGGTACCCCTTTCATAGCACAGTTCTCCTTTTCTTCAGCAACACTTCCCCCTTGTCAATCAACTGACATCTAACATGGCCCCCTCAAGGTGGGCCAAGAACAGATGACATAGCAATACCTTACAATTAGTAAGACTACCCCGGTGACTGGCCCATGCAGCATCCGGGTACTGGGAAATGCAATCCGCAAAGTTCATGCAACTGGATCGCCTTCAATATTCAAGGCTTGGCTTCTTTGCCAGAATACCAACATGGTTCAAGAAAGAAAGCCGCTACAGCAAAAAGAAACAGGTAAGGGGAAAACATACTTCCATTGAAAAGGCAGTACGTAGCCAAGCAATCATTGGCACAGTGCTTTTCCTTGGGCATATAGAACAGGAGACGGCGGAGAGCCAATAGAACAGGAGAGCAGCATCGGTGGGCATTTGATGCCGGTTTCCCCAGATTGCACATCACGGGCATTCTGGAACGCACCTTGTCCTTGATATCCAGGGTAGCTTTGGCCTCAACCAGGGCCTTCACACATTCCTTGTTGCCTTCATAAGCCGCTAGATGAAGGGCAGTCATGCCACTCTGGAAGATGTGCATAGACAGACAATCAGCAATGTGCACCATCATCTTTGTGCTGCACAGAGTCCAATCCTCCACACAATCAGCGATCATCATAACGAGCATGCATGACTTGCCCTGGTGCAGCAGTGATTTTTCTGCAACTGTAACAAAACTAGTAGTTTGGTTTCAGGCTCAGGTTAGCAAGAGGTTACAACTTCAGCTAAAAGACTCTTGCACCAGTTGGAGGCCACGATGTGCAAGCTGAACAAACTGCAGCAGATGCTTAGATTCAGGTCGCATACATGGGCATATATGCAATCACAAAATATCCCAGCAGCAAAATGATCACATTTGGACTGTACAGCCCTTCCAACAGCCTGCTTTCATTGTTTGGCACACCTCATCTTGTCTGTCGATTTCTGCACCTCTATCCAGAATGAGCTTTAGAGATTTCTTCTTATTCCACTCCGCTGCCCAGTGGCCTGGTGTTTTGCCTTCCTGCAAGGCAAAGGCAGTCAAGTCACGGAACCTGGCTGCTGCACAGGCAATGCGACCTAGCACACTCCCAGAGCATGGCAGATTTCACCATCACGATGTTGTGGCTGTGATTCGCACTTTTGACAAAGACGACACTGTTGCAGGTTGAGAGTTGACACTGAGGTGATGATAAAAAGAAATAAGACAGCATTTTCTGAAGTATGCTGAGGCCTAAGAGAGTAGGAGCTAAGAGAATCTAAATGCGCTTAAACAGCACCTTGTCCCCACAGTTGATGAATCTTTGGATCTCATCAATTTTGTTGCGGAGCACTTTGGAGCCATGAAACACCGTGCGGTGCAGACGAGTCCAACTGAAAGTCTGCAGGACACAGCAAAAACTCAGGGTACATAGAACATGAAGAAAAGTATTAAGAAAACTTCTATGCAATTTTATGGGCATGTTACCCTACTGCTCACGTCTCTATTGCAGGAACACTAAATCACAAGTCACGCACAAAGGCAACACAGCAACAACTTTTTTGCAGCAAAGCCGAAAACATGAGGTTGCCATGACTAGAGAATGTGGAGCACAAGGGGGCCAATTCGCCACCAAGCTCAATTAGGTCACATCACTGCAGGGCGACGATCACTCCACATGCAGCACCTGTATCAGCATTCCACAGCCCATCATCGACAGAACCAACACCACACAAAATGAGCTGCAATACAGCAAAGGTCAGCAGGGCAGCGTTGCTTGCAATACTGATCTGCAACCATCTCATCACTTGCCTTGCTGAGAACCAAGAGGGTACGGCTGTTCACTTGATCGTTTATCCTTGTTTCTCTCCTCTCAATCCTGTCAACCAGATCCTTTGGCAGTCTCCCTTGTCGGGGATAGCCATACGAGTTGTTTTGGCGATGGAGGGGCTGAGGAGCAGGGTACACATTCGCTGAGCTCATTCGCGCAGCGTATGGGACTAAGTCCAAACCCAGGACCTCCAGATTCGTCAGTTGGTCCATGGAGGCTGGAAACTTGTTCAGACCCCTGCACCAGTTGAGCTCCAGCTTCCTCAACTTCGACAGCACGCCGATCCTTTCTGGCAATGACGAGATCTTCTTGCAGTATTCCAGCCCCAAAATTTCGAGCTTGCCAAGGGCCGTCAGAGATTTCGGCAGGCTGCCAAGCTTCAAGCAGCCACCCAGAAACAGGTTCTTTAATGCCTTCAGGCTCCCCAGCGTGGTTGGCAGCTCCCTCAGCTCTGTCAGCCCGAGCAGGTTCAGCATCTCCAGGGAAGTTAGCCCCCCCATGGTGGATGGCAGCTCCCTCAACTTGCCACATGAGCTGAGGTCCAAGCGCTGCAGCTTGCTGAGGCAGCCAAGACACGCTGGCAGACTCTCAAACCTGCAACCAGGCGCATAGAGGGATGACAGCTCCACTAGCTCACACAGCGACTCGGGAAAATCTGACAGGTTTACGCAAAAGCGCAGCGACAGCACGGTAAGGTCTGAAAGCACCCCGATGTTTTCCGGTAGGCATGTCAGCTGCTTGCACACATCCAGACGGAGCACCTTCAATTTGCTGATGCCTGTCAGGTCTTCAGGCAAAGACGAGATGCAGCTGAAGCTCAAGTCCAGTACTCGCAGCAGCCTCATGGACAGGACTAATTTGGGCACATCCGCCAAGGCTGTATCCCTCAGAAGGACCACCCTCATGTTGGGCATCTGGACATCCCAGGACCATGTCCCGATCCTTTTGTGTGAGAAGGACAACTCCTTTCCCAGAATTACTGAGGGCCAGTTCGCTACCACATCCTTCAAAGGTGTTGGTCCCGCATCGTACCACTTTTCCCTTGTCTCCATGTCTCCCTGCTTTGTTATATACATGGCCAAGCCGCGCAGAACATCATGCAAGTAGCAGGACTCTGACGCCACATCCTGAAAACCTGTTGAAGACAGTGCCAGCTCATCCTCACTCAGCCTGTAACCCACCCCACCCTTGTGATCACGTTTCACCAGGGCAAGGGATACGAGCCTCCACCAGATCTGCTCTGCCTCGCACCTGTCCATGTTTCCCGCTGCCGACCAGACATCGATCACATCAGACAGGATCAGATGGTAGTTCCCCGCAACGGACGCAAAATGAAGAAAGCAGTGCTGCTCCTTCCGGCTAAGTTTGTCATAGCTCGGCTTCAAGCGTTCGTACAGGGCCTCTTCGCCGCCTGACAGTTCTGAGTTACTTAGCCTTCTGGCGGCAGTGGTCATTATCGACCTCCACATGGCTTCACTACCTGAGTCCACGGCAGTCGATGCGATGCCACACCCCACCACTTCCAATGTCAAGGGGTGTCCATGACACTCTTTCACCACTTTGTCAACCTCTTGTCTCAAATATGGTGGAGGCGGGTCATCTGACTTGAAGGCATGGTGGCAGAAAAGCTTCACAGAGTTGTGCTGATTCAGCTCGTCCACATCGTGCTTGTGACCTCCCAGTGCCACCACAACAGCAGCCACCCTTGTTGTCACTATGATCATGCTGCCATTCTCAGGGTCTATGACAGTCAGGTGCTCAATGTCACAGGCAGCCCACACATTGTCCAAAACAATGAGAACTTTCCTACTGCTCAGTCGCACCCTCAGCTGTTGGGCGATTGTTTCAGCATCGTCAGATTCTGGAAACGGAAGGCTACCCAGCAGGGCACGCCAGATTTGCTGCTGGCACTGCAGTACATGTGCACCATCGTTGACGTACACCATAGATATGCCAGAAAACGCATTCTGCACCCAGTTATCGTTCAGGATCGTTCGCATCAGTGTTGTCTTTCCGGAGCCCCCCATTCCAACAACACAAACTATTCCCCTGCTGCGCTCCCTCACAACTGCAGCGCGGCTGCCGATCAGATACTCCTTCGCCACATGTATGTCATCTTCTTGGCCAACCACATACTTTGGTCTCTTTGGCAGACAAAAGATTCCCCAGTGGTGGTCCAGCAGCATCTTCCTCTCAGAATCCATGGTTCGCATCAACATTTTCAGCTTTTCCTCAACATGATCCTTCCACCGAACTTGCAGCATCCCCAACCTCTCAAGTATCATCTTCAGCCCAACTATGACCTCTGTCAACGCATCGTAGAGTCTCCGGAGATTCAGCAAGCTTTCAGAAGGCTTACATTCACCTCTTGTGTACCTTCTCACAAGCGTGGCTGGAAATTCCCTCAAAAGCTGCTCACAACTGCGTCTTTCCAGTTCCTGCGAATGTGAAATCTCCTGGATGCGGGCCACACCTTGCTCCATGAGTGCGATCAATGTCCTCCAAGAATCTTCATCGCCTCCACAATGTTGTACATCCTGGAATCGACAACACAGGTATCCATTCAGTTATCTCAACACAACACATGTCAGCCAAGAGGCAACCATGCTCACAACCCTGCATAGACAAAGGATGCAACTCAGTGAAGAGGCTTCCCTGCAGGTCACAGTTCAGCTGACAAAGGGGTTTGCCATATGCCAGCAAACTGATGTGTGGTGGCCGCATGTCCAAATGCTGAAAGAGGAAACGAATGAGCCATTGGGGCCACCCAACAACAGACCACAAGAATCAAGAATGATAGCATACACACAGGGATGTGCCAGGTACCTCAGATGCATGTTAGGCTGCAACTGTCACTCATAGGCAGGTTAAACACAGGCCCTCTCCATTGAAGGTCCTTTGAGTTTGTACACCGTTGCTGACAGAGTAGAAAATGTTGTAATTCTGTCTGGAAGGGTCACTGTGAACAACAGTTCACGATCCTGACTTCTAAGGGGGAACATTCCTAGTAGCAACGAAACCCTTGATGGGGTACTCACCCATATAGTAGACTGAAAGTAGGCAGCAAAACCAATGACAGCTGCCACAATAAACAGCATAAGCACCGCTGCCAGAACCTGCACGCACAGACAGCAGTGACCTGCAAGCTACACCTGTGGTGTGACTAGGCAAGCATGTCCACAAATGTCTGGATGGACAACCGCACAATTCCCCACTGCCACACATGCAGCTCTGTGTTGTAGCACTGCTCCTGCAGCTCTCTGAGAATTCAAAACAGAATCTCACACAGTTCTCGATCTGGAAATGGCTGCTCATTGCATGGCACGCACAACTCAGAGCGATTAGAAGCAACGTTTCTGTTGCTGCAATCCTGGTACATGTCAGCTCTATACAATGCATTGTACATCTGCAGTATGGTTCATAACTTGGCACAGCATCCCCTTCCCCCTGAACAGCAGTGGGACGATGATGCTTTGCGGAAATCCTGTTCCACAAGTTGTGCACAGGGCCAAATGCTGCAGGTTGCAAGCAATGTGTTTCTATCAGTTTGCGACAAACAAACTAACATAATCTGCACAGTTACCTAGCCAATCAATGACTGCACCTCACTAGGGGTCAACATGCATACAATGTCATATGCCTGCTTTGAAAAAGGATACTGAGACAGCATCATATCCTGCACATCCTCACAGCAGGAAGCCTGGAAGCCCAGCCCACACACTATCAAGAGCCATGCGGACTGCGTCCATTCCACACGCCCATACACATTCCATCAAGAGCGAAGGCAACACCTAACCTAAAAGGCTGTAGGCTTGTGTGCTGAAGCAAAAGATTCAGACACAGCATGCAATTTCAGCTATTTGTGATTGCCATAACATAGGACTCCGCAACAAACGGGACAAGTTCTGGTGGCAGCATGCCCACATGGGTTGCATTCCACCAATCGCAGACATTGAACACATGCACAGGAAACTGAGCTGACTCTGATATCGAGAACAAAAACTGGTGGGTGCTTTTAAATGGAAATTTCGTTATGTATATGTGCAAGTCATACGGAACAAAAACTTGACAAAATAAAATGCATCAACACGTCAGGTTTCCTTTGGCAAGTTAATTTGAGTGCGCACTTCAACATGCATCTCTGCCTGAGGCCTGCAGTTGTCCGACAACACACTGTCGATCCATGAGATGAAAAACGCCACATTGATGTAGGCCGTTGCAATTCGGTTGGCTGCCCTCCCACATGAATCACCAAAGGAAATCACACCGTATATCACATCCAGTTCAGCGCTGCCAGTGCCAGGGCTTCCTTTATCCCCATCGGGACCCAGAAGAGGCCCTCCAGAATCGCCTGTGGCAAGGCATGCAATGCACAAATGTAGAAGTTGGGTATATACTACAGCAAACAGTAGTAGTAAACATAGCACAACTGAACAACAATCCACAACAATACAGTTCCCAAAAAGTAGATTCCGATGCACTGAATGAAGTTCGATGGCTGGGCAACAGGGTGGAGGAAGAGTGAACTTGCCTTTGCACACGCTTTCATTTGCATGATAAGCGCAGATGTGATGTGCCTTCAAATGTTCTTTTACAGCTGGTGGACAGAACTCCTTCTCAACGACCAGAAGCTTCGTCGCCATGTGCAGGTTGTTCGCTGTGCTGTTTTCTGGTATTGCCCTTTGCTGGCCCCACCCCAGTGCATACACAGGAGTGTTGGCAACAGGGCTGTGGCGTGCCAGGCGAGGGGTGACCACATTCCGAACATCTCTTGCCAGACGGATCAAACCAATATCGAATCCAGAAAACACGTCACCGTCCCATCTCGGGTGCTTGATAACATCTTGGGCCGGCACCACCTGAACAGTGTGCCAAAGAGTCGATGACCATAGCAGCTGATAACTAATAGCCAAACTGTAGCAGACTGGACAAACAAACAGTGTGAGAACATCTTCTGTGGACACACGAAATGTGTGCATAGAACTACAGTGGTACAGCTATAGCAATACAGTGACGACCACATAACAAGAACAACAGAAAGCGGATGATGAACTTCTGATGCTTTGGGGGGGCTTTCAAGTGGACTACTTTAGCGCATGTGGCAACATCTCAAGTCACGCTGGCTGTCAACATGGCATGTTGCAGTGACAAGCACACCATGCCCCACGTAGATGCCTCGATGCTAAGACTCCCAAAAGAACATCCCTTGTTGCCCCCAAACGGTTTCCATTTTCAGTTGCCATCCCTTCTGAAACAACATCCTTGTGGGATATTTTGCATGCATAGATCATGCAGAAGTCTCTGAGTGCAGCTGGCTAAACGCGGAACAGGCACCTATATGGCAACAGGAAGCCCATGCTGTTCAAAAAGCAGCACAGTGCCAGGACTAACGTGCGCATAAATGCAGTCTCAAGCGCTTGCACAAGTCTCCAGATTACACAAAATGCATCAGTGTGGACGCCTGCCAAGCCTGCTGCAATGGCTGTCAACGAATGAATGTGGGCGCCCCCCTCACACTGCATGCCAACAAACATCCCTTGGGGTAGGTGTTCCGCAGTATGACAATACAGGACTGCCGCCGTTGCAAGACTGATAATTCTATTCACTGTCCCTTCTGAGCCCAGTCCCTGCGGACTCACTGGCTACCATCTACCAAAGCCAGGGACAAGCATCACAGACAGGGCATCTCTCAGCAGTGCCCTCAGCACACACGACATGTTGTGTCAGAATGACAGCTCAACACAGCGACCAGAGCATTTCAGACTGAACTCCAGTTTTTCTGCTTTCAAACACCGGCACCTGCACTCCAGGAGTTGGCACGTTGGTGTCGACATTGTGTGCTCCGATCATCACAACGGGCTGCTGCCCAACGCCATCAAGGCAGTGTGCAGCTGTCATGACGTAGTGAGGATGAATGAGGCATCCACCACAGAGGGGCATGCGGCCCATAGTGGACTGCACACTGACCACATAGGGAAACCGTCCCTCCGGAGCTTCTGGCCCCTTGATGAAAGGAGAACAGAAGCATGTCATATGCTACACATGCAGAGGTCGGATGTGTGCTGAAGCATGCCTGAGAACACTGTTCGCAACAAGAAACATGCAACACACAGATTGTGGCCTGGGACCTGCATTCCCATTGCGGGCAGATATGGATGGCTGCATCATGAGCATCACATATGTGCCAGCAATGAACACCAACATCTGCCCTGACAGGTGTTGTGGGCATAGGGGACATCCTTGGGCATCTGCTGGAAGGCCACTGACTTGTGCTGTGCAAGAGAAGCAGCAACATATAGCCAGTGTGATAATGACCTACCGCGATCTTTGGCTCAACTAATGGCTGGCCATCATCAAGCCCCGTGACAAAAAACCCTGCAAAAACAGTTGCACATTGGAGGTGACTACCCTGCAGTGATGCTGGACTGCTCTCATCTTGGCCCACATCAGGAAAAACACAGGCACTCTGAGAGTGGACAGTGCTCAGTTTGTCTGCTCCTTTCACTTGTGGCTGAGGAGGCCAGATGAAATTTGCAATCAAATGAACCATGAATGCTGTGCCACATGATCCAACGTTCCTTTGGATAAAAGGCTTGCTCTTTCCTTCAGACCTGGCAAACTAAGAGAATTGATGCTCTCTTTGTCTTGGTGCTGAAAAAGTGATACTGGACATGATTACGAATTCCAACCACGACAACTGCATAATTGCATTTGCAGACAGCAAACAACCAGCACTCAACCCATGCATAAGTTTCCAACCTTATGTTGTTTTGACAATGCTTCCCACAAAACTTGGCAATGCTCTGGCTGCATTTCCACAATAAAATGACCACTAACACCGTGCAAAATGAATACAACGAGTTCACTGTGGCAAGAGGGATCGGCCTGCACACATTTTCCTCAAGTCCTGGTGAACCAACAAAATTGACAGTCCTTGTTTGGTTCTCAAGAAATGGATTTGGACATGAATATTGAGTTCAAACTAAGTCAAGTGCACCTGCAGTCAGCAAACCAGCCAGCGTTCAATGAAAACCTGAGTTTCCAACCTTGTCCTGTTTTTCCAGTGCTTCCCATGGCAGTTGTTGCAATGCTCTTGTCGCCTTTCCACACAAGAGCGACTGCAGCCATCAAAAAAAGCGGCGAAAACGAATTCATTCTGGCCTGATTCATCAAACCTGCATGTACAGACCAGAATCCAATAGTTGGCAGATGCCACAGCAGACGCAATCCATTGCAAGCATGGCACCAGATGTAAACATGAGGTGCTGAATGGTTTTCCTAGCCAGAAAGAACTCCCACCAATCCAGGCTGAGTTGCAAAGCTGGCATGTGGCCTGCGCATGTTGGACAGCTTGTTGACTGTCAATGTCAAACAGAACAGTGCATGTACAGCACACTCACAGGCACGTAAGCCACCACTGTATCGGACCTCATACAGGAGATTGTTCTTTGCCACAACAGAAGTGCATACCAATCGTCACTGGCCACACTCAGCTGGCAGGTGCCAGTATGGGATCCATGTGCCCTCTTGCTCCTTCATTCCATGACACTCCTAGCACCTCAAAACTTCCCCCTCTCAGCTTGTTTACTGTTGCAGTCAGAGGCAGAGAATCAGATGCACACAATGCCTGTTCAACATCACAGCCAAGGTGGGAGCATTGCAAGATGTGGAGACGATGCAGCACAGAGTGCAGCGAGTGCCTCTCAAGGGCCATCTGAAATCATGGTGCAAAGTTGATACGCGTATGCATGTTGCGTACGCGCGTAATTCGCTATTGGTGGAACGGAAAGGTAAGATTTCGAACAATGAAGTCCAATCAAAGCACAACACGACTGCAGGCGACACAACAGCAACTCAAACAGATGGTGCCCATATCCCCCTCCGTAGAAAAAGACGGTCCACAGACCGTCGGCCAGACCTATTCCGCCGCATCGACGGCACCCAACGAACGCAAAGAAATAGATAGTGGTACAGCACAGGAAATGAAAAGGCCGATATTTCGCTCAGGGCTTCGGGCCCGGTGACCAGGCCCTCGGGTGCATCTGGCGCCACCTGGACACGGCGGCGAACAACAGGGACGCTTGGCGGAGTGCGTCCATTGGTCCAATTGATCCACAACATCAGCGGCGACAACATCATTCATCAACATTGACGAACCCACGGGTCAGAAGCCGCGTGGCGAACCCCATCACAGCCACCAAGTTTCGCGGATGGCGTGCCTCAAGGCCCAGCGCAGTGGCGCCGGCACGGATGCCACCGCATGGCCAGGCACACCACCTTCATTCCCTGGGGCCCAGCCATGGCGCACCACCATCCAACCAGTGGGCATCGCGCAGCGTCAGAAACCCCAGAGCGCCACATTTGATGCATTCATGGTTCCCAGTCGGTTGTTCTCCCCTCCTGGCCATCCAAACAAGGACGGCCCTCGGTTCAAGCCTGGCGAGCGCACGTGGCCGTTGGCTTCCCAGCACCTGCAGCAGCCTCTCGGCCTGGATTTACCGCCTCCCCAGCGGCGAACGCGGCAGCCTCCAGGTACGATATCCGCCCACGGGCCTGTCAGGCCGATGCCATTTTCCGTTCTGGGCCAAACGGCCTGCCAAACGGTTTATGCGCAGCCGCGACCCTGCGCGGCTCTGAGGTGCTGCCACCGACTGGTGGCCCATTTAAGAGAACCCCATCGGCGAAACTGGACCTTCTGCAATCCGCGAATGGGGCTCTGTGGGGAATGCATGGAAGTTTCGATGACACAATTTTCGTCCATTGAGCTGGGGACTCGCTGTTATCCGGCAGTCACGTGTTCACTCTCTTGCCCCCCTTTCTTCCCCTTCGGCGGGAGACGTCTGTTGGACTCGCGTAGCCGTGTTCAGGGTGACGTGATCCCTACAACTGACTCGCAGATCATGGCGTGGTACCATCGTGTCGCATGACGTGGTTATTCGGATTGCCATTGCCGGCCGCCGCACGGACACCCATGAGGAAATCCAAGTTCGTTGAAAGTGTGTGGCAGCCAGCTGCCAACACTGGACTTCGTTAGAGATGGGATCGGCGCCCCGTTGGCGAGCTTCTGAATGGGGAGACGGGGGTAGGTGCTGGCGATGCGCCAATGGCCCTGTACGTGGAAGGCTGCAAGCTATGTTCTGGCTGTCGGCCCTTGGGCAGTTTGGGACCTGTTGGTTCATGCACTACCGCTGAGAGTTGGCCAAGGGATCAGCGCACTCTGGACACACAATCAAGCAGGGGCGAGGATTGTTTGTGAGCTTGTGACGGTCGGCGGGCAGGCTCCCTATATTGATGACAGCCCGGTGACCACTTCCAAACTTGTTTTCCTCATTCAGGTCAATCTCACAGGGAAGATGCTCTTTGACTCCGGCATGCTCAGCATCCAAACGAAGCCAGGATTTCGATGACGTCACCGCTACCATATTGCGTGATTTCACAAAAGCAAATTGAGAGGCTGGTGCTGGCGCTGGGGCTGGGGCTTGGGCTGTTGCACTGGGGATAAAAGTCTGTGCACGTTTTTTTTCTTTTTTTTACGTCCATCACCAGCAGATGTGTGCGATGTCACTAGCGATGCCATTTTTGGCACAAGGTGAATCACATGGCATCAGATGCCGTCACAGCCACTCTATCCCATCGCAAACATTGTGACGGCATCAATATGTGTCAAAATAGCATCGCAGTTGGCATCGCAAACACGCCATTTTCTACCAGTGCAAAGGCTACCTGAAGACCAACTGCATGACAGACATAACGGCTTGCCTACGCTGCCTCTACCAGGTTTGTTATTTACGCCGTTGAACTGATCCATTTGCGTTTGTACGCGTAAAAAGGGGTAAAATTATGTAAATACAACGTAACTACAGCCCAATGTACATAAAGATAGTACATACAGATTTAGGGAGTCCGAAAGGCTAGAAATAGGATTAACCATCTTGTTAAGGGGTTTCCGCCCAGGGCGACGAGGGGCGGGCGCGCTTGCCCACTTGGGCCAGCGCTGCTTAAAGTACAATGGTTTTGGCTGCCCCTTGGGGTTTCTGTCCCCCTGTACCTTGGGTTAGTGGCTGGTTCGTGGGGTTCAAGGAGGGCCAGTGGTTTTTGGCGCCCTTGGGAGCGGCAGGCTTTGGCGGGCGCGAGCGGGGAGGCTACTTAGGCTCACCCCTCGGTCCCCACCTTATCTTGTTTCGCTTTGCGCCAACCCTTTGGCACAACCCGGACCCACAGAGTGGGTCGCGACCTCCGGCTCTTTGCCGAGTTCTTGCCTATGAACCCGTCCCCTGCGGAGCAGCGGTGCTGGGAATAAGCTCGCTGGTTCAACAACTGTATTCCGACCTCTGCTATCGAAGCCTCCTTGTTGCCCGACCCGGCGCTCCTCCCTTAGTCAGTCAACAACCCGGTCGCCCGACTAGTGGGCGCCCGCTCCCCGTACTGGTTTGACGTCCACGACACCGCCGAAGGGAGTGCAGTCGCCAACGCCCTGGGCGCGAACTCCGGGTACTTCCAGGAGTACGCGGGCTGGGCGCCTCCGGTCTCCTGGCTGTTCGACACGACCGCGGCCTTCGTGGAGGTGGCCGCCCATCCCGATCTCCCGGCGTCTGTACGGGAATTTCTCCTCCCCTACTTTTACTCGTACGTGGAGGTCACCGAGGCTCTCCACGACCAACTCTCCTTGCAGTGCATCCATGCCAAGCACAAGGGCTCGGGCTTGGAGGGATCGTGGCGGGCCATCCAGGCGGAGATCCGCCTCGCCGACCGCGGTCTGCGCTTCGGCACTGCTCGCGTCGACGGGACCATCGAGCGCATGCGCAAGGAGCTTCTGATGCAAGAATTGAAGCATGCCACCAAGACCGCGGCTACCAAGAAGTCTACCTCCCCCCCGTCAACCTCGACCCCCTCGACCGGCCCCAAGTCCCACAAGGGAGCTCGCGCCCCGGCCCCATCCCCCAAGCCGG